TGATAAATATTTTAAGTATATATTTTTCCATTGATATTTCTGTTGCTGTCATCACCACCTCAGTGCAAAGGATTATCATGTCTCACTGAAATACTACAACTCATGTTTGATATGCTGGCAACCATTCTGAGAGCTCTATATTTCATTCACCACAGAGCAGAGAGCCATCTTTTTCAAAGAAACTGATATAACCCACCCATCCCTACACACACACACACACACACACACACACACACCCCTTTCAGAATATGGAAGAACCCACTAATATGACTTTTGAAGTGATACATGGGCAAGTCCCAAGCTTTTTTGTCAGCTTCATCTTGCATAATCTTCCCCCTTATGTTCTGGGCTTCAGTCATACAGGTCTTTAATTGATGTATTATACTTTCCAGGAAGGTCTCCAGCCTCTGCACATGTTGTTCCCTTTACCTGAGAGGTTCCTCCCTCTGCCCAGCTAACACCTATTCTTATGTCAGCTTCCAGTTATAACTTCTTTAGAAAAACTTCCTGAGAGTCAAATCATCCATCTCCATATGCCCTCATGGTACCATGTTTTCTTCTTAATAATCCACCACTATTATAATTTTGTATGTATTTGTGATTTCCTGACAAATGCATCACTCTCCTACTAGACTATAAACTGCATAAGGATTAGGACTCCTTTAAGTTTTGGTTATCATTGTAACACTGGAATCTAGCAAAATGACTAATGCACAGTGATCTGAATGAATGATTTGAGAACCCAACTGAAATAGAGCCATAAATAAATGATGAGTAAAGAAAGATAGTGAACCTACCCAACTTTTGAGTTTAACAGGGGGACAAGAGTTATTATTTAGAGGGAAATGTTAAGATTAGAATGCCTGGAAAGACTTGTTGGTTAGCTCAAAAACTGGAGAAGCTAAAATATGCTTAATACTGATAACATGGGTCCAGCAGAGAAAGAAATTAAAGATGCCCAACAATTAAAGATGCGTAACTTTTCTGGGAAGGTTAGCATCAAGGAAGCCAAAGTCTAGAAAGAAGCATTGGCCTGAGAGAAAAAAAGATGCAGTTTCTCCATTGCAGCAAAATGAGAAAGTATTAAAATAGGTTCATAGATTTGGTGATGGAAAGTAAGTTAGAAAGTAAGTTAGTTAAGTTAGTAAAACAAATCTGAAGGGTTGGGGTTTTGACTTAGTGGTAGAGTGCTCGGCCACAACGTGCAAGGTGCTGGGTTAGATCCTTAGCACCACATAAAAATAAATAAAATAAAGGTATTGAGTCCAACTACAACTAAAAAAGTATATTTAAAAGAAATCAAAAAACAAATCTATGATGATAGAATAATGCTTACCATTCTGGGGGTGGGAAGGTTTCCTGAAAGGGATATAATGGGGGTCCCTCTATGTTTAGACATGTTTTAGTCCTTTTGGTGGAAGTGTGTTCACTTTGTATTAATTCATTCAGCTTCATGTTTATGATTTGTGCCCTCTTATGGGTATCCTACACTTTTTTAATATTTATTTTTTAGTTGTAGTTGGACACAATATTTTTATTTTATTTATTTATTTTTATGTGGTGCTGGGGATTGAACCCATGGCCTTGTACCTGCTAGGCAAGTGCTCTACTGCTGAGCCACACCCCCAGCCCCATGGAAAGTTTACTTAAAATCAAAAGGCTAGAAATGACAAAAAGGATATAGAAAAAGGCTCCATGAGAAGTTAAAGTTACAGAACTCTCTTTTATCTCTATGTACAGAATTGGCCACTAGGCTACTGCTATGGTTTGGATGTGGTTTTTCCCCACTAAAAACTCACACTGAAATGCATGTATACTAGCTAGTAAAATAGGCCCTTTAAGAGCTAATTAGGTCATGGTGGCTCCACTCTTACGAAAGGATTACTGTTCTCACAAGAGTGGCTCAGTTATTGTGACAGTGATTGTTATAAAGCAAGCTTAATACCTTCTCTCAGTCTTGATTGTTCTCTTACACACATGCTTCTCTTCCATACACTTGATTCCCTTCTGGTTTTCATGGTGCAGCATATGGCCTTCATAAGAAGCTGAACAGATGCTGGCCAATCTCTTGGATTTCCAAAATTTTGAACTAAATAAACTTATTTTCTTTATAAATTTCTCAGTCTCAATTATTTTGTTATAGTGTTAGACTAATACAGCTACAGAGAGATGAAATGATATAAATCAGGACTCTCAGGTTTTGGTTATCATTGTAATACTGGAATCTAGCAAAATGCCTAATGCATCTTTTAAGATCACAAAAAATATTAATGTGGGGCAGGAATTTTAATTGAAATATGTTAATTTCAGAGTAGTCTCAAATTCTTGAAGAATGATTCTGAGTATACACAGAGGGTTCTTGTCATCCAGGTATTTATCATCCTCATCCTCTATGCAATATGTTAAAAGGGAAAGCAAAAAAACAAAGTGATAACAAAAATATTTACTACAGAATTAAGAATACTTATAAAATTGGACCTCAAATATTTCTTCTCTAGTTCAAACCAGCTTCTGTTTCTGCCAATTCTCATCAACTCCTTATCAGTCATTCTTGGTGAAGTCTTTCTTGTGTTATAATGTCAAATAGAACAATATAAACACTGTAAATCAACTACAAAGTAAAACTGCACATCTTACAAAAGATGCAGGATCCCATGGAGTTGATAAAAAGTACTCTTAGAAAATTGACTGAATTACATTTGAAACCAATGACAAAAGAAGACTCACCCAGGTCAAGAGTCCTTAACTACTATAGAGATCCCTGGTTGCTCACTAAGTATCTGTTTCTCTCTTCCTACTCAGTAACAAAAACTTGATTTTTCAGTAAGTGTAAGTTAGTAACTGTTTCTATTTTACCAGTAAATAAACAGATGTTACTACAGTCTAAAGCTAGGTCTAAGAAATGTACTTGAATCAACTTTTAAATCCAAAGAACTAAACATACAGTCTCAGACAATTCCTCTCCTCAAGTAAACATCTGATGCTGCACCCCATCTACTTAAGGAGTGAGGCAATGCTTCACAATGCTAGTCAACAGATGAAAGCACTTATGTCTGAGGGTGTGGGAGGGTACCATATTGAGTCCTCAACAAATTTCACAGCCCTTATGAATTGAGTTCAATTAATTATAGGCAGACACCAGTGAAATGTACAAGCAATTTGAAATTAGTGATATTAAAAATAAAAATGGTCACATGATAAGAGATATATGAAAATTACACAAAAGAATGAATTCAGCTCAGTACAAAGATCAGTTAAGATTTAAAGACATTCCCGTAGATGGCACAGTGCACCAGAGCAATAGCTAGGAACTGGTAAACAAAGACAAGATCCTTGTGGATAGTGTTTGCTGAATGAAACCAGGTGTTAATATCCTCATAAAAATTCTGAAATTCCTCTACTATTGTCCATACTACCAAGAGAACTACCAGAAAAGCAGTAGGGTTTGTAGTTATATTTACATCCTGCTTTGCCCTCTTGAAAAACAGTACCAGTCAACAAATCCGAAACATTCCATGTCTCCTTACATGTATATTTTCTACTAAGTAAAGCCTAAGAATCGAAAAGTATCCAAGCGACCTTTTAAAGCTCATTGATAAATTAGAATGATATGGAAATTTTTTAAATGAAAAATAAACCTTTCTATCTTCTCTTTCCAGCGTTAAAATCCCTTCTTTTCATAACCCACCTTTCGCCGACGTGCTGCAGACTTTCATGAATGCACCACACATCAAAGACAGAACAAAGAGCTCCTCTTAATAACAGGGGCGTACAGTGTCCTTAGAAGATGGCATGGTATTTATCGATGACTGTTTCTGCTCTAAATTAACACGTTCAGGAGGATCTGTCTTCACTAGCTCCACCTGGGTAACACAGGAGGTGGGGGGGATCTTTATTCAAGAGAGGCTTATTTCAAGCCAGCAACACTTCTCCCTTTGGGGGCTTCAGAATGGGCCGTGCCAAAGGGCTTCTTTACACCAGATCTCACGACACCTTAAAACGGCTAGCCAAAAGAAGGCTCCTCGCCTCACAAAGAGATAACTAGGGCACAGCTGTTACACAATTAATACCCGACGCCGAAAGCCTGCCCGAGTCCCCCAGGAGTCTGACCTGGAAGTCACATCTTGGCGGACAAGGAGGCACTTCTGCTCGAGAACTATTTAAGGAGACCCTCCACTAACTGCAGATTCAGAGCATGCGGAAAAAGGAAGGGCGGATGAGGACACAAGAAGAGGGTCTTCAGCACCAGGGCCCCGAACACCCCCCCACACCCCACGCCGTCCGGCCCTCCCACAGAGGCGGTACCTGTTTCCGCATATTATTCATGACGCCCATGAAACCCGCCAACAGTTTAGCTTCCTCTCGAGCGGCAAGTTTCTTCTCGGTCTTCTTCTTACTGCCCTTCTCCACCCCGGAGGCTGCCATCCTCCCTCGGCCGGCCACTTGACGCCCGGGGCTTGCCGGGCGGGTTGACGGGTCGCACTCTCCCGGCCCTCTGGGGATTCTGCTGACCAAACACTGCGGTCACGACTGCAGCCGCAGCGCGTAGCACACAGCTTTGGAGCGGCTGGACTGCGGCGTTGGTTGGACCACAGAGGGAGGACAAGGCCTACGGCCGGCTCCAGAACTCTGAGGAGGGAGACGTTGGGAGCCTGGCTGCGCGAATCCGGCTGAGGAGCCTGCGTACTGCGCCCAAGGCGGCGAGGCGCAACGGAGGGAGTGGGGCGTGGCCTGTGTGCGTCACAGCTGTGCGCCGCTCTCTTTCAGGTGCCCCTGGTGGATTTGTTGGCGTCTGCCGCTGACTGGTTGTTGCCTCTCGCATGCCTTTACATCGGCCAAAGGCAGATTTCTCGGTTTAGATTACGGGATTATCTATTTTGGATCATTGGAAGACTAAAATTGTTATGCTGAATTCAGGACCCCTAAAGGCCACCAGAGACCCAAGATGGATGTAAGCAGCAAAGAGGTGTTTATTGCGAGCTAGCTTGGTCCTCCTCGCACACACACAGCAACTGGTGACGCTGAGAGGCCCCAAACCCAAGGTTTGCAGCATTTTTATACATTCTTTGGAGAGGGCAGGGACTTCACATACATCATAGCCACTTTTAGCAAATCATCACACACCGCGGGAAAATCAAGTAACAACTCTAAAACATGATTAGCACATTCACTGGCGGGAACAAGTTGTGTAGGGGTGATTGATCAGTACAAAAGGGGTATTCGTTTGAACTGATTGGTTTAAGCCAAGAGGGGTGTATGTGCTGAACTACATGGTTTTCCAACACCATAAACTACTGGGAGGGTCATCTGGCATCCCAGGTATTTCCCTGTCTCATGCTGATTGGTGGCTGCTAGGGGGCTGCTATGGGTCCCCACCTAGCCTGAGTCAGGGACACCTGGCGCAGCAGATCTCTCCTGTTATTTGTAGATAAACAACTTAGCAGGGTGGGAATGTGCCTAGGAGTGCTCTGTGGGTTTTTCCAAGGACAAAGGCCATGTCCCTTCCTTGGACAGGCTTTGCTATGAGATAGAGGCTGGTTTTTCAAAATGTCTCCCCCGGGTGTAAACTCCGTGGGAACAGGGTTGGCCTTTCTTCCCTGCAGTATCAGAGCGTGGCATATTGTGGGCGCTCACTAAATATTAAATGATTAATAGGTGGCATACACTGCTAGTTAAAGACTTATTATACGGAGCACAAAATTTGTTTGCTTGAAATTCATAAAGCAAGAATACACCGTCCCATTGATGTCTCCTTGGGGGACTCCTGCTTACTAGGCTGGCTTACTGTTTAAAACCGATCAGGTTTTAATCATCCCCAAGTGTCTTCGGGATCTCAGAACTCAATCCTAGCACTCACAGACGTGCTTTTTGTAACTATTTACTCTTTTTCGTGTTTAGTAATGTACGGGATTATTGCAACTGTATGCTATTTTTCATTCTGGACATTTTCTACATATTCTCTAAATTTTCTACTTAGATATATTTAGGACTATGTGGAAACATTTTTTTATATGAAATAACTTACACTATTGAAGCAATTTACTTTTTATGAGGACAAGCAACAGAGTGAAAGCAAGCAAGAGGCTTATAAACCTCAAATTTTACAAAAGGACACTTGTGTCTCTGTAAACTTTTATTATTTTTTTTAATCTAGAGGTTCTCAGATATGCTTCTGTTTTAACTATTGATAATTTGAAGATTTACAATGGTCCTAGCAATAGGACCCATTTATTCTTAATGAAATTAGAAATGAGAAAAAAATCATTTATTAAATGATCCAGGATACTGAAGAATAAAAGAATATTTTTTTTAATTGAAAGGAAGTAGAAACCTGTCTGATCCTAATTCTAAGGCCTTGGAAACACTAAGGCTGCGTGAAAAGCAGAAATGTAGGTAATATTAGAATGTTATTCTATAACAATGTTAAAAGAAACAAGGAATAGCACCCTTAGTACTTGATGTTGGAACATTCACATATTGAAGAATATGAAATATCAAAGCTCATAAGGGCCATAGAACTCAGAACTCAAAATAAACCTTGGAGATTAAATGGCACAGAAGTTATGCATGATTTTGCCTTGATGCAAAATCAAACACCCCTACTTTTTTTTCTTTCCTTTTTCTTTCTTTTTTTTTTGGTTGGGGATGCAGGGGATTGAACTCAGGGGCACTCAACTACTGAGCCACATCCCCAGCCCTATTTTGTATTTTATTAGAGACAGGGCCTCAGGGAGTTTCTTAGCACCTTCCTAAATTGCTGAGGCTGGCTTTGGAACTCTCCATCCTCCTGACTCCGCCTCTGGAGCCACTGCAATTACAGGCATGCACCACCACACCTGGCCTCTCAAACACCTCAACTTTCTAGTCATGCAATTTTGAGAAGATTGTTTAACTTCTCTTATGTCTCAATCTCCTCATCTGCAAGAATAAACCTTACTACATAAAACTGGCAAAAGTATTACAAAAATTCTTAGACTGGTGCCAGCACAAGGTGCTCAGTATTAAGATACTGAGTTAATAATACTGGCTATTATTATTTAATACAGAATTTCCCAAAATATGTTCCTCAGCATACTAATGAATCAAATCTTGCTCCCCCTCTACCCTTCCTGAATTGGTTCCCTGAGAATATACTTGCGGTAGAACAGGTCCCTGAATGACCTTGGAAACCCAGATCTCCCCTCTCTTGCTTATAGTTCTCAGAATAAGTATAGAATACAACATTCTGAGATAGAGAGGAAATGCCCAGAACAATCCAGCTTGTATCCTTGTTCCTCCCAGAACAGGATGTACTACAGTGCTTGGTTTCAGTGATTCAGTGATGCCTAGAGTATAAAGCCCAGAGAGATATGTTCTCAGGGTTTCTAAACTACAGTGGAGTATGGGGCATGCTGAGATGAGACTTCCCATTTGCTCTGGGTAGCTTTCCTGAGCTTTGGAATACTGGATTGCTGTGGTTCCTAGGCTTCTGTTTATTTTATTTTGATTGAAAAAAAGTTTTTTTTCTCAGTGCTGGGAAACAAATTGAAGGCCTTACACATGCTAGGCAAATGCTGTATCACTGAGCTACAACCTCAGCCTGGAGTTATTTGTTCTGACTTGTCTGTAAGAAATAAACCTGCTTTTCCAGGCTTGTTGCATGAAAGTTCTGTTTCATTGGATTTGTGTGAATGATAGAGAACTTTTGTAACAGCTTTGGGAAATATGTAAAACATATCCTTTTTGAAAGAAGTCCCAAAATATATTTGAAGAGGAAAAAAAAAATAATGAAGCAGAAACCTAGAAAGAAATCAGAAGAACAGGTGATATGTGTGAGATGAAGTTTACCATGAAGTTAACTAAGTTTAAAATTCAGGGTCTCTAACTTAAGCAGGTAATTTTCAAGACTGGGGACCACATGTGTTCATGAGTTCACATGTTTTGTTAAACTAATAAGTAAAATATTGGGGGTCTGAGAATGTGGTATAGTTGTGGAGCATTCACCTAGCATGAGCAAGGTCCTGAGTTTGATTTTATCAGGTATTGTTGAAATAGCCACGGGTGTTTTGGGAAACTAAGGATAAATCAAATTGGGAATACATTTTGTGGGTGTTTAATGGGATGTATTTTTGTAGATCACAATTACTTTCATATAGTAAGCTATTTGCAGTCTTTCTAATGTAGGAATGACATCCAGGAATTAGTTCCTATACACTACACCAACCCTGTCTTGTAAGATGCAGCCAGCAATCTTATTACAATATGTTGTACAGTGCCTAGATTGGAGGTATGTAAGAAGTAGTGAAAGTTTGAAACAAGTTTGGTTGACCAAGCAATAAGATGGTCTGTGGAGAATTCTTTCAATCATATATGTAAGATGATAAGCAGAAGATTTGGTATATCCTTAAAATCTTGTCAAAAATCAAAGAAATATAGTTGTTATGCCTACATTTTATAAGATAGCATATGAATTCTTAAGTGTGACCTCAACTTTCAGAATTACAGAGTAAGGACTTCTGCAAATCCATTTCTCTGTAAAAGCAGCAATAGTATGTGAAAGTTGTCAAAATCAAATCCCTCCACTTCCAAAAGCTCGGAATTAATCAAAGGCTTATAACAATTCAAGGGTATTTATTCCAGAAATATGGCTGAATCTCAGTAAAAGCAATGAAATTTGTGGTATTTTAACTTTTCCTAATCCGTTTCCTGGTCCCTGGATTTGTGGGTCTTGAAAGCCAATACCTTTACAACAATGGTAACTGTGAAAACTACTAGCACTGGAGGAGGCCACATAAGTTGGATATCCCTCACTCCCACCAAAGTCCCATTTCCAAAGAATCTTTAGTATTTGACCTGTCCAACAGCTTGCTGAATTGTCAAATAAAGACAATACCAAGAATGGGATTGTCTCTATTTGACCTGACTCAGAGCTTCCTTTGTGAAAATAACCTTACCAGCAAAAATTGTTCTGACAAAAACAATAAGTGGCATGTGCTTGAGGCAGCTTTACCAGTTGGGTTTAGCAAAAGTCCACCCTAAATATTTAAAGGGAAAAACTGGGTATATGGATTAAGGTTCTCTAGAAAAACAGAATCAATTGGATGGATAGACAGAGAGAAAGGGAGAGAGAGAGAGAGAGAGAGAGAAGAGGGGATTTATTATGAGAATTCACACAATTATGGAGATTGAGATGTCCCATGATATGTTATCTAAAAGCTTTTCTGGGTGCAATGGTGCACGCCTGTAATCTCAATGATTTGGGAGGATGAGGATCACAGGTTCAAAGCCAGCCTCAGCAATTTAATGAGGCCCTAGGCAACTTAGTGAGACTCTGTCTCAAAATAAAAAACAAAAAGGACTGGGGATGTGACTCAGTAGTAAAGCACCTCTGGGCTCAATTCTCAGTATCAAAACAAAAACAACTAAAATCTGGACAATCAGGAAAGCTGGTGGTATAATTTAGTCCAAAGGTCTCAGAACCAGAGAGACCAGTGTAATTCTCAATCCAAGTCTGAAGGCCTGATAAGTCCCGGAGTCTAAAGGCCTGAGAATCTGGAGTTCTGATACTGAAGGTAGGAGACATGAGTTTCCCAGCTCCAGAGCAAAGAGTGACTTTACCCTTCCTCCACCATTTTGTTCTGTTTGGGCCCTCAACCAATTTTGTATGATGCCCACACTCCTTCATGAAGGGTGAATCTTTTCTATTCAGTATACTGATTTAAATACTTACTTCTTCTGGGAAAAACCCTCACAAATTTATTCAGAAATGTTTTACCAGCTCTCTAGGTGTCCCTTAACCCAGTAAACTTGAAACCTAAAATTAATCATTATATTGCATAATGAAATACTGTGCTTGAAAATGAAGAATTCCTGGGAATCTGGAAGGCCATGTTCATGCTCAAGCTATTTGCATGCCTAAGAAAAAACTGACAAAGACTTGAACTCTCACTTGTGGTTGACTTTTGAGGCTCTGTAAAAGCAGCAAGTGACAGGTAAGGCAGAGTTATAAATGACAGTTGGAGTATTGAAGGCACAACTCAACACAAACATAGAGGCAGAGTGGGAGAATTATTGGCTTAAAACATTTAAGGAAATCTGGGGCTGAGGCTATGACTCAGTGGTAGGGCACTTACTTAGCATGTGAGAGGCACTAGATTTGATCCTCAGCACCACATAAAAATAAATAAATAAATAAAATAAAGATATATTAAAAAACATTTAAGGAAATCTATGTGAAAACATTAGCTGATGATCAGCAGGTTGACTGAGCAGAGATACATGGCAAAGAATCTAGACTACACAGAATAGTCTAGGAAATGAACTAGACAACAGCAATAACAATAAAAACAAATAGCTACAAAAACTTTGTGGAGATGAATTAATTTGATTCCTAGAGTTGACATATTAAAGTGGCTACACGTTAGTCTTCGACAAATGAATTATTACACACAAAGAAATAGAAAAGTGTGATACCAAAACAGAAAAAAAAAATCAGTCAATAGAAACCATCTCCCAAAATTCAATAGGAGGAAAACAAGCCAACCAATTTTTTTTTTTTGTGTGTGGGGGGGGGAGTTCTAAGCAGACGCTTCTCCAAAAAATATACATATATATTAAATAAGACTATGAAAATATCCTTAACATCATTGGTTATCAGGGAATTACAAATTAAAATCACTGTGATACCACTTCACACCTAAAAAGAAAACCTTATTAGATGGTGGTGAGGATATGGGAAAACTGAAGCTTTCATATACTGCTAGTAAAATGTACAACCATTTTGGAAAACAGTTTAGCAGTTTCTTAAAGTTGAATATCTACGCACTATATGAATCGGCCATTCCGCTCCTAGGTATTTACCCAAAAGAAATGAAAGTATATGTCCTATCAAAGACTTGTACAAAAATAATAAAACAGATTTATTTGTAATGGCCTAAAACTGAAAACAACCCAATGTCCATCAATAGTGATTAAAAAGTGATTAAAAAGGTGATATATACATACAGTAAATCACTGGTTGAGCTTCCTTAATCTGAAAATTTAAAATCCAAATTGCTCCAAAATCCAAAACTTTTTGAGCATTGATATGATACTACAAGTTCATAAAACTTTGTTTCATGCACTACAGTATTTAAAATATTTTATAAAATTACTTTCATTCTATATGTATAAGATGTATATAAAACATAAAAAGAATTTCATGTTTAGACTCAGATCTCATGCCTCAGATATCTTATTATGTATAATGAAAATATTCCAAAATTTTTTAAAAATCCAAATCCAAAATACTTCTGGTCCCAAACATGTCAGAAAAGGGATACTCAACTTATACTATGCAGCAATAAAAGGAATTAGTTATTGATATTGTAAAAAAGTGAAGATCAAAATCATTATGGCAAGAAGAATATAGAAAAAATATTACATATTATATCATTCTATTTATGTAAATTTCTAGACATTGTGAGCTAATTTATAGTGACAGAAAGCAAATCAGTGATTTCTTGGAACATGGGTTGGGGACAAGGAGGGGGAAGTGGGGGAAAAATTCAAAAGGGGCATAAGAAAACATTTTGGATGATGGATATTTCATTATCGTGATTGTGGTAATGGTTACATGGGTGCAAAATCAAGCAGATTGTATGTTTCAAATATGTCCATTATACTTCAATTAGATTAAAAACAAACTATGAGTTCATGGAGAATTTGGATATATGAAACATAACACTTCATTATTTAAACCTCTTAATATTTTTAAAAAGTACATGAAGATTTAGTGGATGAGAGTTGGTAACAAGTTTGGAAACATTGTATTTACCTTTTTTAAAAGAGCTTTAAATGTAAATTATGACAGTGGAACCCTTGCTTTTTTAAATCTTTAACAGTATGACAGGCAAATTATTTTCAGCATTACTTAAAAATTCTTAATGAGATTAAACATCTTTTTATATGTTTATCATTTATAATTTTTTCTTTTGCAAGTTGCCTGTTTGTTCATTTCTCTTTTGGAATTTTTCTTATTGATTTGTAAGCATTTTTTATTGAGTTAGGTTTTAGATATATTGAATTTGAGATCATGTACATGTAAAAATATCTAAGAAATCACTGAAGATTCAGGATAAGTTCTCCAAGGGAGAGAGGGGGAATGAGCTAAAGTGGATTACCAAATTAGAGTTCAAGTAAAAAAAGGATCCAGGGAAGCAAAGAGTGACTTGGAAAAACATGTCCTCATATGACCCTAACTAAACACATTTCCTGTTACTATCCAATATAATGTGGCATGTGTGATTATGGGAAGTCCAGTCTTTTTTAGAGTTCCCCTGTCTAAGTATGTCCAAGAAATCCCAAAGATGCTGATTCATGTTTCATGTCCACATATCTGTCCTTTGAGCTGTTTTTTTGTTTTTCTTTAGCAAACTCAAAACTCAATGTGCCCCCTTGAGGCTTTAGGATTCCATAGAGCCCTGTTGCTGGAACCCAGAATGTGCTGCTGATGTAGCATTGACAGTGACTCCTGGTGCACTGTGTTCTGAAACCTGAGTAGTCTCAAGACTGCCCTAACCAGGCTGTGCTCCAGTTGCTCAGTGACTATCAGTGCTGTTGCCACTGTTGCTACTGCTGAATCTGAACCTCAGGGTTGCTGTCAAATAGGGCAAGCAAAAAAGTTATGGCTCAAGATGGGCCACCTGCTCTACAGGTTTCCACCAGGGATATTGCAGATCCCAGCTCCAGGGTATGATCATTCCTCATTGTGCAGAGAAAATATGTGCATTTTGTAGTCAAATGGGGTCTGTATCCAAAACAGCCCAGCCTCATCACATTCAAACTTTCGTGATTCAAATAGATATTGTCTAGGCCCTGATCCTATCTTCAGGATGACTGTGTCAAAGGCAGGTTCACTAATGGATCACATTTTCTAGTTGATCTTTTAGCCTGTCTTTTCCCATCTTTATGGTAAATGATCTCACAATGATCTTGTTGCTCTTTCTTGTTCCTAATTTGGCATGCCACCCAAGTCTATCAAACAATTTTGATTCATTTGAACTTGAGATGGAAAGAGACAAGTTCTCACTTAATTTCTCCCAGGAGTACTTCTATGTGTTGGAATCTCTAACCAACATGCCCTCATTCCAAGTAGCCTTGAAGTTTTCTACAATAACGATTATTTTGGGGTATAGAAGGAGGTGTCTGGTGCCATTGAAATATAATTGCATCAAAAGAGCACCTTCTCCTACTTTCTTAACCAGGTAAAGGAAAATTGAAGGGTTGAATCCCCAGGAGTGGTGGATTTTCCATGACATTAATGAAGCTTAAGTATCACTTGCTCCATTTCTATCTAAGTGACAGGGGAGGGTCCTTATAAGGTGTTCACAATGTCATGTATTTTCATAAAACTTACCAAATAATATATTTTTGTTTGCTTTCTTAAAGACGATATCTCTCCCAAATTATATAAACTTAAGCTTCACGAAACTTGAGTCCATCTCTGATTCCAGGCAAAAATCATGAGAAGGTTTTTTGATATAACAGGAGGCCAAGTGGCATGATAGAATCAAGCTGGTCTGATTCCATCCCTTCTCCATTTCTTAGTATCTGTGTAATGCAAGGTGTGTTGCTTAACATCTCTGAACCTGAGGTTCCCAGTAGAAAATAGAGATAATAATGCATGTCTTACTGTACTCGTGTGGGAAACTATTACCTAATGGAATAACTAATGGTGTTTAGCATATAGTAGGCAATCAAAAATGTAGTGTGTTATTATGGTTATCATCACATTGCTAACTGTAAAAAGATCTATCCTGGAGGAATGGGAACTTATTTCCTATGTTTCTTACATATCTATTTATTCTTATCTCTTACCTAGACCCTGATCAAACAAAGCCTTAAACATGAAGGAAGAGGAATTCAGAAGAACTGGACCTGACTCTGAACTTATTTATCCTTGCATATCTCAAAATTTAGGTTTCCTGCATTATTAGGTTTCCTTGCATTTCTCAGTATTATATTTCTAGAAATTCACATAAAGGCAAAAAGATCAGAAAATGTCCTTCACAATCACACACTTTTGGTATAAATATAAAAGGGAATTCTGACTTTGAAAATATAATATAAGGAAATAACACTCTTTCAAACATAATTGCAAAGGGAAAGGTCGGTGGACTTCAGACCATAAGCCAATATGTCAATCCAAGTAGGCCCCCCCAGGGATATGGTAGTTCTTTTTCTTTTTCCCAATTAAAGTGCCAAACATTTCGTTTTCATCTGATTCTAAAGTTGAGAAAAAGTATTATAATTAGTCACATTCTCATTTTAAAAGGTATGAGTTACATTTATAAGTGCCTTAATGAAAAAGAGTCAAAAATGAAATGCAATATCTCAAATATCCTCAAGTAATTGAAACCCAATGAGCATGATACATTTCTTATAATTACTTAATTGGCTGTTTGCCTGTGGGTCAGACACTAATTCACTGTAACCACAGCTTATAATTGAAATTCTATTTTAGTTAAAGAACACACATGCCAATAAATCATCCAAAGAAAGGATTCTGCCACAGATTTGCTAAATGAACTTAAGTGTTGACTCTGGATCTCCTGTACTTAAAATAGATAAGGAGAATCTCACAACCATCTTGATTCAAGTATCTAAATATTTATGCAAAATACTAAGCTAGACAAGACACTATAGTAGGTTGCAAATTGAATCTTTTCTCTTTACGTTAGTAAACAGTTTCACTTCCTTCTATTAACTTACCTGCTTGAAGTCACTTATTAGTAATTCACTTAATAAAAATAATTAATGTCTACTGCCATAAACTAGTTAACATAGTAGGAACTTAAATGTTGATTTTACCAAACAACTAAGTACCAAAGGGAATTTTGAATGTAGAAGCAGTCTTTGCCCTTAGTACTTTCCAAAGTTGATGGCAGAAGTCCAGTTGAGTTAATAGGACAGTATGTTCCCCCAAAGGACATAGACTGCCTCCCCATGCAGACTAAAAACTGTGGCCAGAGTCATAAAATAGATATGGGATACTGAATACTCACTATGTGCTGTGCACCGCAAACAATCCACCTTCATTATCTCACTTAATGGGAACGATAAAATATGCTACAGGGTATTCTACCACCCTCACTTTACAGATGAGGAAATGGAGGTTTTTAAGACATTAACAATTTGCCTTAGGATGCAGAGATAGAACATGGCAGGCAATCTGACACCACAAGCCCACAATCCTGTTACACTAACATTGAATAGAGAAGTAAGTATTTCTCCAGTAGTGTCAGGTATCCATCCACTGAGTGAGCCTGGGTCCCTCCGTGTCCACTCTGTGTTGTAGTTTCCCTGGCCCCTACCCCAGCCGTCCCTGCCTGTTTGTCCGGCCAACATTGGCTTGTCTGCATAGTTGTGACTTCCTTTCTTGCATATGCCTGGGTGAGAGGTCTGTTCCACAGCATAGTTCAACTCTTGCCTACTTGTTTGCTACTCTTGCCTGCCTAGTCCAATGCTGATTCAGGTCATTTAGGCAACAGTGATTATATATGTGCTATGTACTGGGTAATAAGCAAGATATTTGGAATGGGTTGAAAAAAATGTGGAGAAAATGTCATAGAAATAAAAATATGATAAGGGTTTAGTATGAGTATGTCCAAAGTGATCCAGGAACCTGGAAGAGGAGGCCATTTAATTTGCCTGTGACTATGGAGAAAGTCTATGTGGAAAGATCTGGGTTTTCAAGCATGAATAGCAGTTTTCGTGTCAGAGATTGTATAATAAGAGTAAGAAAGAATAGCTTCCTGGGCCAGATGTTCTTCGCTGAGGGTTGCTGTGGTTTCCTGCTTCAGTAGTGCTTGGACAGAACCTGGCACTCAAATCCCCTTTCTTCTGGGTGGGTGACTCAGAACCAGCTTCTTGCCACTCCTCTCAGTGTGCTCATACACCCAAGGTTCCCACCATCAGTCCAGCCAGCACCTCTCCTCAGACACTGCCATGATGACAACAACTCCAGAACTCCCATGGGAAATTGGAGGCCATCAGCTGCCAGATAACCTGGAGCTCTGCCTTCCTACATCTACCGTCCATGAGCTACTACTTTAACTGCAATGAAGTTGGATTTTGTTTTGTTTTGTTTTGTTTGCAATGAAGTAGCTTTGACAAATTTTGCCAAATACTTTCTTCTCCAATTTCACACACAAAAAAGATGTGCTGAGAAATAGATGAAGGGCAGAATTAAACAGTGAGGCCAAATCTTCCTTCAGGATATCAAGAAACCAGACCGTGACCTCTGGGAGAGCAGGGTCATTACTGCAACTGACCAAACTGACCACTGACAAAAGGGACCCCTCACTTCTGTGACTTCATTGAGACTCCATTACTTCAATGAACTGGTAAAATCCATCAAAGAAGTGGGGTACAGTGGTGAATGCCTGTAATCCCATTAGCTCAGGAGGCTGAGGCAGGAGGATTGTGAACTTAGTGAAGCTCTAAGCAACTCAGTGAGACCCTGTCTAAATAAAATAGAGAAAAGGGCTGGAGATGTGGCTAATGGTTAAGCACCCCTGGGTTTAATCCCTGCAAAAAAAAAAAAAAAATCCATCAAAGAATTAGGTGACCAGTAACCAATTTGCACAAGACAGGAGCCCCCAATTTGGCATAGCAGAATATCTCTAGGACAAGCACATCCTGGGAGACAGTGATGACAAGACATAGCCATATGGTGCCGGGAGAACTGGAAATCCATATGCAGCAAAATGAAAATAAACCTCTATCTCTAACCATGCACAAAACTCAAAATGGATCAAGGACCTAGGAATTAGTTCAGAGACCCTACACATAATAGAGGAAAAAGTAGGTACAAATCTTCATCATGTCAGATTAGGCCCCGACTTCTTTAACAAGGCTCCTAAAGTGCAAGACATAAAATCAAGAGTTAATAAATGGGATTGAGAAGCTTCTTCTCAGTAAAAGAAACAGTCAATGAGGTGAACAGAGAGCTTACATTTTGGGAACAAGTTTTTTCCACACATACATCTGATACAGCACTAATCTCCAGGATATATAAAGAACTCAAAAAACTTAACATCAAAAACAAAACAAACAAAAAACCATAAACAACCCAATCAATAATTGGGCTAAGGAGCTGAACAGACACTTCTCAGAAGAAAATACACATTCAATCAACAAATATATAAAAAAGTATTCAACATCTCTCTCTCTAGTAATTAGAGAAATGAAAATCAAAACTAAGATTTCATCTCATACCAATCAGAATGGCAGTTATCAAGAATACAGACAACAATAAATGTTGGTGAGGATGTGGGGGAAAAGGCACACTCATACATTGCTGGTGGGACTGCAAATTGGTGCAACCAATCTGGAAAGCAGTATGGAGATTCCTTAGAAAACTTGAAATGGAACCACTATTTGACCCAACTATCCCACCCCTTGGTCTATATCAAAAGGACTTAAAACCAGCATACTATAGTAATGCAGCCACATCAATGTAGCTTTGACAAATTTTGCCAAATACTTTCTTCTCCAATTTCACACACAAAAAAGATGTGCTGAGAAATAGATGAAGGGCAGAACTACGGAAGCAAACTAGATGCCCTTCAGTAGATGAATGGATAAAGAAACTGTGGTATAAATACACAATGGAATATTACTGAGCATTAAAAGAGAATAAAATTATGGTATTTGCAGGTAAATGGATAGAGCTGGAGAATATCATGCTAAGTGAAGTAAGCCAATCCCCTAAAATCAAAAGCCAAATGTTCTCTCTGATAAGAAGATGATGATCCATAATGGGGAGAGGGGAGGCATGGGAAAAATGAAGGAACTTTGATTGGGCAAAGGGGAGGGAGGGTAGGGATATCAAGATACATGTATAGGGGGAGGAAAGATGGTAGAATGAGATGGACATCATTACCCTAGGTACATATATGACTGCACATATGGTGTGATGATATGTCATGTACAACCATAGAAATCTAAAATTGTGCTGCAATTGTGTACAATGAATCAAAATGCATTCTTCTGTCATATATACCCAATTAAAATAAATAAATTTTAAAAAAGACATAGCCATGGAGTGACTTCCCTGGTCACAAAGGCAGTGCATATGCAGGCTAAAGATACCTTCACCTTTCCTTGCAGTCATACCAAACATCCATTTAAATTCTCTAATTTATACCATTCTTTCAAATAAAGAAATTTGCTACCCGTCCCTGCAAGAGGAGAAGGAATAACAGTATGTATCTTTAGCCATATCCCTAGGTCAATGTCTCTCATTTTCCTGATGTTCAGTTCAGGATGTGAAGCAGTTTCTCATAAGCCTCCCTGGCAAATGATCTCTTACTTGAGGATCCACGACATTGAAGGGCTCAGTAAGCAAGGGTGGGTGGGGACCATCAGCCTCTGCCCACACAAGAGAAAACTTTCAGAGTGTTAATTCATCAGTTGAAGTAAGGCAGCTTGGGTGATTGGCATTTTCCAGAGAAGTCCTGCAAATAGGGTCCATTTACCTTACTATTAATTTATATATCCCACCAACCCATCTTCTTCCTCCATTTCCCTCCTTTTCCACCTCCTCTCCTCTGCCTCAAGGAGATGTTGACTCTAAGGGACTTATTATCAACCCAATCCTTTGGGAAGTCAGAGTCTTAACCTACTTTGTGTCAACCTCTGCCACTCCATGCCCTGGGATCTTCTGGGACTGGGAATGAGGCTCCTTTCTATCAGCTTTTTCTCTCACATGCTTAAAGAACAAGACTGTAAGCTTCTAGGTTTGCTTTTCAAAGAATGAATAAGGGAGCTGTAATCCATCTTACAGTTAGCCTTAACATCAGCCATCCTAATATAGCCAACAGTAAATCTACTTGCAGCATAAATAAGAAGAATCCACTTTCTTCTCTTGCCTTCTTTTCTCATCACTGCCTGGGTCTCTGTCTTTTGCCCTCAGTGCTCCAGACAATTGAAATATCATCTCTAGACCCCCTCACCCATGGTGCTATTACAACTTCTGGATCTTGTTATCTGCTTTGTTCTTGTCGGGTCTCAGATGTTTCATGCAGCCTGGAGTGGATCAGCACGGTTTAGTAAGACTTAGAACAAGTCTTCCTTGATTCTGCCCTCATGCAAAAACAAGCAAACAAATAACAACAAAAACCCCAAGTCATATGTCATTCCTCTGTCTCTATCTGAACATTTAAAACACTACTTGAGTAAATTAAATAGTGTTTTACTTGTCTGTT